TTTTTTTTTTTTCATGAGCAGAATTGGAGGGCATAAGGGCACAGAAGTGGTTTTCACTTAGTTGCCATGCCGGATTCAGACACGTTGACCAGAATGTTTTCCCTCTTCAAACACCAAAATATCACTGGTTCAGGCAGGAGGCTTACAGCAGGCAGGTTGGGCTTCGGCTAAAAGGTCTGCTCTGAGGGCCCATGAATCGGTTCATACATGTGTCATTCCCTCATAGCTCTTAATTCTTCAACAGATATTCTTCCCCAAAAGATCTCGCTCAAAAGCTCTCTTTAAGATTCCTCCTTAAAAGTTCTCTCTAATAGTTTTCCCTCTATAAGCTCTCTCTTAAGGTTCTTTCAGAAGTTCACCTTAAAAACTCTCCTAGAGTTCTTTCTAAAAATTCTCTGAAAGTTCCTTCTAAAAAGTCTCCAAAAGTTCCTTCTCTCCCCACAGGGCTGCTAGTTTTTGTACCCACAGGCACATTTAACAACTCTCTGACAATATGGCATGCATATCTCTCAGAGCCAGGAAGGCCGATAGGATCTTGAGCAAAGCAGGCACCTCATGTCTCTTGCCTGGAAGTGACTTGCAAAATGTCCTGGCAAACTGTTAACTGATGAATGGGGACTTCTCAGTGCTAGATCAAAGGGAAAAACTAAGGCTCTGCAATGCCAGATCTATCGCTCTTACTGCTGACACCCAGGTGAGAAGGAATTTCCTTTCTCTGGGGCCTACTTGAGAATACAAAGCACCCAGTATATATTCTGTATACAGCCAAATTCATTGTAACAAATATTTTGGAGTTGGCACCTAGAATATCAATGGCTACTTCTGTAATAAATGATAAAGGCTCACAGCACCTAGCGTGTATATTGTGGATTGTCACACCGAACACTGTCTGTACTCTTTTTGCCCAGACAGATTCCAACCCATGATCTCCTGATCTTCATAAACATTTACAAATGAGGAAACCAAAGTGCAGTGAGAAATCACTCCATTGCTTTACCAAGAGAAACAGTGTGTATCGGAGAACCAGTGTTGGCTGCCAACCAGCTCCCAGGTCACGACACAGAGACTTAATATTACTTATGAATGCTCAGCCTCATCTTCTTGTCCCACCAGCTCTGGTAACTTCATTTAACCTGTTCCTATTCATCTGCATTTTTGCCTTGGTGCTTTTTACCTTTCTTTAATTCTGTACGTCCTATTCTGTCTGACTCTTTCCCCCCTTGGGTTCTCTCTCAAGCCTACATTCCTCCTACTTATTCTCTCTACCTACCAGCCTTGCTGATCTTTGTCCTGCCTAGCTGTTGGCTGTTAAGCTTTTTATTATACCATACTGGTGCCTTAGGCAGGCAAAGCAACACATCCTTACATTGTTAAGCAAATGCAGCATAAACAAATACAACCCACCTTTATATAGTTAAAGTAGTATTCCACAACACCAGTGGTTCCTGCCCGGTGCCAGCTCTATGCTCGGGGAACTTGGAGGTTAGTCAAACCTGGCCCAGCCTCTCTGTTTACAATCCAAACAGTTTTTTTTTTTTTTTTTTTTTAATTTTCCCCCAAAGGAAAACAATGAGAATAAAATGGACAACTTTTTAATTCCACCTTTCGCCTTACATCTAAAAGATGTTCCATGACATTACTTATAGGAGAGGCTCAGTAGACAGGAGCAAGCAAGCAAGTAGATAAAGTTTGCCAGGATGATTGAGAAGGCAGTCCTCATGAACAGGAAGTGCCTAGTACCCAGCTCCCGTTAAGACAGCCATGCCGGAATGTCAGCTCATTGTCCCTAGGCCTGATGTTGCAAGAGACGTCCAAAGCTGAGTGCTGGCGGTAAAGTTCAGTGACAGAGTGGTTGCCTACATGTGTTGGTACCTTCAAAATGACTGGGAATCCAGGCTGTCAGTTGCAATCTTTGAATATTAGAACGTTGACGTTTGGTTTAAAACAGACAAATGCCATTCAGGTTAAAAGAGAAGCATCTGGGTCATTGGGGGCACACGCCTTTAATCTCAGCACTTGGGAGGCAGAGGCAGGAGGATCTCTGTGAGTTCGAGGCCAGTCTGGTCTCCAGAGTGAGTGCCAGGATAGGCTCCAAAGCTACACAGAGAAACACTGTCTTGAATAAAAAAGAAAAGAGAGAGAGAGAGAGAAACATCTGTGTGCTTCAGTCAACTGTCATGAGTCCTGGTGTGTGCTCATCTTGTTTCCAGTATTTCTCTAAGGGCCTAGCAGTGGAGACCTTCCCAGTGTGAGGAGAGAGATACAGAAGACCGCAAAACTCATAGTAGAAGAAAGAAATGTTAAACTTGGGGGAAAACAATTCTGACTATCCAACAACATTACTAGGTTAGTAAAGTTAAACTTTTCTTCATTGTATTTTTTAATTTCACATGAATGTGTGTTTTCCCTGTGTGTATGTCTGCACTGTGTGCCTGCGGTGCCCAAGGAGGTCAGAAGGTGTCGTCTGATCACATGGGACTGGAGTTAAAGTTGGTTATGAGTCACCATGTAGGTGCTGAGAATTGAACCCCGGTCCTCTGCCAGAGTAGTTAGTATTTTGACACTCAGCCATCTGTCCAGCCTAGGTCAAATAAAATTTGAGACTTTTGTTATGGGCTATAGTACAATTTAAAGGATTTAGTGACTTATTCACAAAATAATACTTTAAAAAGTAAGCCCAGGCGTGATGGTGCATGCCTTTAATCCTAATACTCTGAAAGCAGAGGTGGGCACATGTCTGATCTACACGGCAGGTTGTGAGACCCTGTCTCAAAAAAAAAAAAAAAAGAAAAAAGTAACAGAGCAAAAACTTAGAAACCTTTTTCAGAAATCTTTTTAGTTTGAATTTTCAGAGTTAAAGAAAAATTTTAAGAGCTGCCCACACTCGTAGCCCAGATTCTCTTCACACATATGTGCATGATATGAATATTTCCATAACATACCAAAAACCCTGCTAGAATTTCTAGTGGATTGCATTCAGGAAGACTTGGCGTTGTAGCAATATTGACATTTCTGATCTATATCCTGTGATGGACCTATTTAAGCCATTGGTTTCCTCCTTTTTTTATTCTTTTTTCCTTTTCAGCATACAGATTATCCATATAATTTGGTATGTTTATACCTATTTTACTTTCTTAAATAATACCTTAATGAAATAGCTATAACCAATCTATAATAAGTAATACATGTTTCAGATTTTATTGCTTTTTATTTCGGGGTTGGGGGCATCTGTATACCAGGGTAGATGTGTGCAGGTCAGGAGATAGCTTGTGGGAGTCTGTTCTTTCCTTCCACCATGTGTGTCTCGAGCCCTTACCAGGTTTTGACCTGGGAGGAATGACAAACTCAGCGAGTTGGTTTTGAGTATAAGTTTTACTTCACACTTATGTCAAAGCAACACACAAGCATAAGCAAACAATCCTAAGAACCACAGACAATAGGCTCACAG